ATCCTTAAAATATTTTTTAACAATGAGTCCCTCATTTTCATTTTGTACTAGCCCTACAAATTATGTAGCCAGTCTGCTTGTGGAGACTAAAAAAAAAGAAAAGGGGGGGACAATGCTGACAAGTATTTAACGCAAGGCACTTAGCACAATGCTTAACGCATAGTATATGTTAAGTAAATCATTATTATTAATAATAATTACTATTATTATGTTGGACAATTCCCAGGTGACTCTCTGGGGTCAGGGAGAAAAATCAAATTGAGTTGGAAGCTACTGGTGAGGTGTCATGTAATGTCACATAGATTTCCTTCCCTAATGAAATTGTGAGGGCTGTGAACACTTCCTATAAAATAAAAAAAAAAAAGCTATTTATTGGCAGAATTGGGTAACACGATTAAGATTTTACAAGGCTCAGCAGAGAAGGTATTATGTGAAGCACTCCAAAAACAGCATTGAGTATCACTGCGCTGTGCCGAGCAGCAGCTCTCAACTTTTTTTAACCTCAGTCCACCATAGGAATTGCATTTCATACAGTGACCCTGAACACACAAAATAACATTTCACAAAACAATACTTACTCTTACCACATGGAATGCAACCTGTTTTCAAGGTTGGTGAAGATGCAGTAATCTGATTCCACTACCCACTATTATGTTGCTCCTTGCAGCTTGAACCCTGCTTAAGGGAACTGCATAAATTTGACGCCGTAGAAGCCTCTGCAAAACAACAGCGACTTGCCAACAGTGTCCAACAGAGCCACGCTGGAAAGTCATTGCCTGGGATTTACCACCATGGTCACTGCCACCTCGGGCAGCAGCTGGCTACCGACATTCTAACTCTCATTGCAGACTCAGTTGTGGTGTCCCAGGGAGGGACGAGAAGAGGTTCCCACTGCTAACGTGCTACCCAAGAAAGGAGACAATTGTTTGCAACGCCTGAGTGTTATTCTGTAGTTTAATTTGCCAGCATTTTGGGTTTGCCTTCATCTGAAAACATGGTAGAATTGCACTTTGCCAGTCATTTGACGTTGGGCTTGGCCAGGTGACTTGCTTTAGCCAAGGAAATGTCAATGGAAACCAGGCGTGTCAGTTCTAGGTGACAACCTTCAAGAGTTGATGCACAGTTGACCATGTGACATAGCTCCTGCCATGGTGACCCACCACGTTGCAGGTGTGAAAATCTCCATGAGCAGGGTCCCTGAGTAAGGAACATGGGTGGGAAATAACCTTTCCTTGTTTTGCGACACTGCAATTTTGGAGTTATATGTAACCACAGCATAACCCACACTATCCAGAATAATAACCACCACAGCCATGAGGTGAGAAGCGCTGTCTCCAGGTGAACACTGGGGGGCGCTGTGGGCAAGAAGGACTCTGGAGGTCACCCATCTTGGACCAAAAGGCGGATCTGTGACCACATAACTCGGTAACTTGCTTACAACATACCCATAGTATGAGTTTTAAGGAACCAAGTAACTTAGAGAGAACACATTTATAAAAGGAATCATAGAAATATAATTTTGTATAGTAATTTTAGCCCAATTAATAGTCACAATTTCATTTTACCTGCGGATAATTCTGGTAAAAGTCTGCTTTCACAAAATATTGAGTTACCAGTATTTCCTTTCTTTTATATCGTCCCACAAGAGAAAGAAACGTGCATTAAGAGCAACTATCTGTTTTGATTCAGAAAAACAGAATAAAGCCATACTTTCTTCCTAGGTTCTAAAGGTTGATTATACATAATCCTGCTTAAAATAAGCCGGAATCCTTTGAGATGGGAACATGAAATATCTCTCTTAAGCATCCGCTTACCCAAAATGCCTTGAGATACTTAATTTGGTTTAAATTTCATCAGAGAAAGAGTTCTTTCTCAAAGACTCATTTCAATAACTAAATAAAGGAGAAAAGCTGTATTTCTTAATATGTAAACAGCAAAATTTTACTGCATGCCTTTCCTTCCCACACACCCAATCGACGTCAAAATAAACAGAATATTGGGTGTTCATTATTGAAGCCCATTGCGCTGTTAAAAAGAACAAAGTAAGTTTCTCACTCAATCTCGTTGGACAGAGTTGCGTATGTTAAAAATAACACAGATAATTCAAGCACAATGCTCAGCGGATGAAAAGTCTAAACCCTGCAGAAAAGTCCCCCTGCCCCAGGGTCTGACAGCGACACAGCCTTAACATGTAGAGCAAGAGCGTCACCTAGTGGCTATATAT